CGGTGGGGGGGGGGGGGGCTTGTGTGTGCGCGTACAAACGCTGTGCCACTGGTTCCAGCACCATTTAATGAGTCCTAGACACAAGTCTAAGAAATAGAACAAGTCATAGTTGCTGAAGAATTCATTTAAAAAACAGTAATCTGAAAACTTACTGGTTCAGATAACAGTTCTCCTGCAGAAAAAGCTGGAACACCTGAATCGGTGTCGGAACTCAAAATCGCCTGGCTACAAGGTTTTCTATTTGAATGTATTCCAAGTGACTCAGAAGAAGCAGGTATGTTCAGGCTTTCCTGGATCACTGGGCCAATCTGAGAACTTCCTTTTCTCGGAACACCTTCTTCAACTTCCTTCTTCCTTTTCCTTTCTAAGTATCTATCAACTTCGGCAGACGAACGACAACCAGCAGCTTTCGCTTCCTGCATAATTTTGTAGGAAAGAGAGTGATTCCTTTTATATTTATAACTCGTGGTGTCTGGGCCAGCTAGTGAGCACCTCGACTAATTCCACGGGATACTTACTAACTCCCACCAGCAGCATAGGTACCGGGTAACTCTGTCCACAAAGGCTTGAACAGATTGAAAGAAATAACCTAGTCTCTATGTCCATTTTTACTTGTCCAATTTGAAAAACCAAGAGATAATTTATCACTTAGTTCCTTATTTACCCTTATTATTAACTAGTCATTTCCCAAACATTGAATTTATTATATTCAAGGGGTAATATAGTAAAATAATCATTCTATTTATTGCTCCTTAAGGGGTGTGCCAAGTCAATACTGGAGAAATACAAATGGACAGAGGGAGCAGTACTTTTGTCTCCGTTGGGTGACCTCATGGTTCCAACCCACTTCATTGACCACTAGATCATACCCTTGAGTGCTAGGATAGAAAGCGATTTTGTATTACGTTTTGCTAATGTAGTCATAGATTAGTCAAATGCCATATGGTTCTAACTTTATAAATTTACTGAGCTTCTATATACAAGCCGACGTTTAGTTTCATTAGAAAAGGTACAATAATAAACAACAGAGCAGAGTTTCGCACCTTGAGTTCTTGTATTCTTTTCAGATATCTATGTTCTGAGATCACAGTCTTTAGTAATTCTTCATGCTCCTCCTTCGATAGAAAGCGCATAATGGCATCATAACGTCGGCATATATCTTTCTCTTCTGGTGACAAATTCTTCTCAAATTCACTTGGCTGGAGTAAATTCCTCTCTAGAATAAAATCCTTGCGGCGCTTTCTTTCATCAAGCCTGCCATTATTCATTGAAACTTACTTGACTCTGAAGGAATGAGATAACTGAAGAAATCATGAAACATATGATGGAGGAAAGAAAAAGTACCTCTTGGAATAGATACGCAGAACACGCAACTTAAGTTCGCGCTCCTCTTCAGTTTCAGTTTCCTTGAATTCCATATCAGCCAATAGTTGCTCCGCATCATTATCATATTCAGGATCAAATTCTTGCCTCTTGGGAATATATCCACTTAATTTCATCAATGAGGATCCATCATCCTTCAAAGATTTCGGTTTCTTGCCTCCAAAATTTCTGCCTGAATTATCTGCCAACAACGGATTTACTTTAGTGTTCACCCTATTACATGTTGCTTCATTTGATCTGTTTATCTTGCTGTTTTGTCATTGTTATTTTCCTTTCTACCATGATTTGTCTACACTTCTTTTGAGCCGAGGGTCTATGGGAAACAACCTCTCTACCCCGCACGCAAAGGTAGGAGTAAGGTCTGCGTACATCCTACCCTCCGCAGACTCCATTTGTGGGATTACACTGGGTATGTTGTCGTTGTTTTTGTAATGAATTAACTATTACTGAGCAATTCCTTCACAATTTTTTTCAGTGATGAATGATAAGTTGACATACCTTCAAATTTAACAGGTTCATTTTGATCTTTGATTTGCGTTTTGCTGGATGGCTTTTTTATGCCTGTGATTCCTGCAGCATCCAAGCTGTTAGCGGCTCAAAAAGTCCATAACGTAAAGTAAATACTACTTTCAGATAGGACCAAAAAGGGTCTTACCCGCATTGGATACAGAAGTTAAACGTCCTGATGGACCAATTTTATGAGTGTCTTCAACTCTAATGGCAAGCATGCAAGAAAAAAGTGAGTACTAGATGATTAGAACAGAAAAAAGACAATAAACCATGTACACAGAATATAGAATATGCTATTCATACTTGATTCGAGACGGACAGAATGATTCATCTTTAGGAACATCTTCACCAAGTGAAGAGAGTCCTGCGATTGCCACAAACATCAGATGTAACAAAATGTTGTAAAGATTCATTGTAATCGAGATAAAACACTCAACTCCTAGTACCACGTGAATCCCTACTTTTCTCCCACGAGAATTCTCATCAACCTATCTGAATCCCCGCCCTCAGCCCCTCACCATGAATTCTTTGTAACTAGTTTGTACCCATGAGCAAGTAGTATGCAAGCAACTATAAGATACGACATTTAATTTGTCTATTCACGATAAATTGGAAATATCTTTTGAATCCTTATGTTTTCCACTATCGTTTGTATAGTTGAAGTAAAATTTGATTTCATCATCTTTTCGGTTATTTCGGTTTGATGTTAAAGTTGTTTCATTTAATTTCACATCCTTTGACGTTAGCTTTTTGTAATTTAGACTTGATTTTTTCTGTCATAATTTTCTTCATAAAGTATTCAAGATTTTATTGAAAACAAAGAATCCAGAAGACGCAGTAGATTACAAAATCCACACTGGAACTCATATGCAAAATCCAGAAGGTGCAGCGGATTATACAACGAAAGTGAAGACCGAAACTATCAATAAAAACAAATTGTACATTTAGTTTTAGTGAATGGAGAGTTTTGGGGTGTCTTATATTAATAACAATTTAAGTAATTAGCTATCAATTTAAATTCCATATTTGACCATAAATATCAATTTATTGTAAAAGAGAAGTAACACAACTATCATCTACAGAAGTAGTAATAAGTGATGCTTTGATATATATACCATATATTAGATACATTCATAAAGAGATTTCCAAGAGTTACTATTGTTTCCTATTTATTTAGCTTTTAATTGATAGATATTTTTATTAGTACAATAAAGAAGATAGACAAAACACTTCTACATATAGTACAGATAGAATCATTTCACCGGCCACTGTTAGTTATTTAACGAGATATGTAACTGCAAAAAATTTGATCTCAAGACCATTACTTATGTTGCACCGAGCATCATTTTGTTATTCTAATGGTAGAAGATCAGGCTCTCAAGATGAACAACCACGGAAAGTAACTAGAGAAATCAGAATTGAGAATTACGGTCCTAACCTTTCTTATCTGCAAAATTCCCTTTAGCCATGGCAATGAGTTCCATTCTGTTTTTCCCCATGACGTGAGTCATATCCTGGAAATGGAAAAGGAAAAATGCAGGTGAAATGGTGAGTCAAAAGAATTAAACTTGCAAAATATTTCTGATAAGTTTCTTACCGGTAGAGGAAAGTAAGGTGACTCTAAGTATGCGGCCTTAAAATGGTCAATGCAGACTTCTTTTGTCTTTGTTCCTACATGCTCACCTACTTCAGCCCAATTACCCATGCCATACATCTCAATTCCCTAGGCATAGCAAATTCAAGGAACCAAGACAATAAGAAAAAGGGGTATTGGCGTTATGATTACTTAATGGGAAAAGTAAAAAGTCAAATTCAGTAATAAAGAAGACACGAGGTGTCCAAAAAAGAGGGTTCTCAAAATAACACCTCAAGAAGCAACATCTCTTCATCAGCATTCCAGTCTGGGCAAATAAGCGGGAAAGCTAAGATGTCCTGTTCAAAGACACTAAGAAGGTCATTAGAACAATGCACCAATTTTGATACCTAGTGCTAAAATATTAGCTCCCAAACAGATGAGAGGAAACATTAAAAAACACAAAATAAGCTTCTAAAAATCATGAGTTAACAACAACATCATGTCCATGCTGTAGTGCACTTTTTTTTTCTTTTGTCAAGTGAAGTTTTTTGTATGTATTACTACTGATATGAGCTTGAAGAAAGAACTAACCATAGTACCATACTTATCAATTGAAAAATAAAGAAGAACGAAAGAACTAACCATAACCCTATAGTGGTGATGGCTTTTGTGAGGATGTACCTCAGCACCAACAGAGAAGCACTCTATACATAGGTCAAAATCGGAACATACAGCACATTTTATACGAGTTCTCCCACTAATGTCTTTGTTGCAATAATTGCAGTGATACAAGGCCCTTTTGCCATCAGCTGTCCCTTGACCTGAGTAATCAACAGCATTATGTCAACATATGAGGAGTGGTTGCAAATTTGAAAGACTCCAAAAGTAAGCTATGGCTCATGCAAATGATATACAAATATTTCAAAATTATGTTTGGAACCTAAAATAACTGTTGTCATGCTTTATTTAGTAATTTAAAGGTTGTTGCCATGTGTTTATACCGAAAAAGTTGGGGCTCTAAAAGAAATTCATGCTTGCAAGAAACAGCTCTAACATATTGGTCTATAAAAAGTTGAGCTACAATGACATCATTCTGAAGGTACACATCCAGAAAAATCTGCACTTTAGGAATTTTATCCTTCTCTGGTGAAAGGACATGGATTGTCATTTCAAAAATGAAAAGGGAAATAGGATCCTGTTTAAACTTTAGTAACCGTTGATTTCATCTACCAGTAAAACTAAGTTAATGGAAAAAAGACCTTAGCCAGATCGCAAAATTCAAAAATCTAAAATGAATTGAATGGATAGTAAAAAAGATAATCAACTATAATAATCTGCCATCCAAAAGAATCAGAACTGAACTGAATTTAAATAGTTAAAAACTAGTTAGACGAAACTTACCAGTGGTCACAGTTTCTAAATTGTCTCCACTTGAGGCATTCTTTTTCCTCCTTGATCTAAACAAAGGAAAACGGGTAATAAAACTACAGGAAATCAGCAAGAAACAACTGAGAAAAGAAAAAAGACAGTATCCACTCTCCTCTAATGCCATCTATTAAAGACATAAAATTCATAAGTAATGCTCACATATCATTATCATTAGTACGTCCTATTCTTTGGAGAATAGAAAGGGTATATTAATAATGCCAAAATTCAATAAGCTCGCTCATAAATTAAAAGGGAATGCCAATGCGACATTAGTACCCCAGCTAGTGCAAGGTAGAGGAAGGGTGAGCATATATTGTACACGGTCTTCCCCTGGCATTTCTGCAAAGAGGTTGTAGGTCACAGAAGAGCAACTCGACCATTGCGCCAATACTCACTCTCACCCCATAAAAGCACATACTAGAGCTAATTCTCAACAATTACCTAATCATTACCAATAAAAATCTACTCTTTAGCACTAAAAGAAGATGAACACAAGAAGTTAATATCACAACTTGTAAAGTTGTTGTCGCTCCCATGTGACCAGGAGGTCACGGGTTTGAGTTGTAGAAACAGTCTCTTACAGAACTAAGAAATGCAGGGTAAGCCGTACAACATACTCTTGTAGTCCGTCCCTTCCCCAGACCCCGCACATAGCATGAGCTTAGTGCACTGGGTTGTCCTCTTTTTTTAGTTAATATTGCAACTCTACCATTGCACCAATGCTCTCCCTCCCACAATAAAAGTATATACTAGAGCTAAAATTCTCAACAATTGACTAATCATTACCGATAAAATAGTCTCTACCACCAAAAGAAGACAAACCCAAAAAATTGATAACGCAACTCTATCATTGCGCCAATGCTCACCTCACACAATAAAAGCACAAAATAGAGCTAATGCTCAACAATTGTCTGATCCTTACCATCTAGTCTTTACCCAAAAAACAAGTTAAACTCAACAAATTAATACCTATAACTAATTTGAAACCTATAACTAGAAGATACTCACCACGAAGTGACTACTCTATGTTAGCAATAAAAATTTAATCTTTACCAGAAAACAAGATAAACCCAACCCATTAGTACTTTAAACCTACACACTCTCAACTATTGACTAACCAATTTAGGAATAAAAATCTAATATTGCAACTCTACCATTGCGCCAACGCTCACCCTCGCACAATATAAGCACAAACTAGAGCTAATTCTCAACATTTGACTAATCATTACCAGTAAAATCTAATCTTTACCACAAAAACAAGCTAAGCCCACCAAATTAATACCCATTACTAGTTTGAAACCTATAACTCAAATGATATACAATTGACTACTCAATGCTAGCAATAAAAATTTAATCTTTACCAAGAAACAAGATAAACCTAAACAATTTCACACCCATTAGTACTTAAAACATACAATTAATGATACTTTCATCTACTGACTAAAAAATTCAAATAATTACCACAAAAACTAGAAGAAAAACCAAGAATTCAACAGTCATTAGTAGTTTATACAAATTAAAAGACACCCATAAGCTAAAAAATACTGCAAAAAATAGAGATGATAAAAAAAAAATATTTAAAAAAAAATCAACCTTTGGCTGGGATCTTCATCAGCTTGAAAATTACCACGAGAGCGACCCATATAACTCTGAATTGATTTTGATAAATTTTTCAGTAAAATTTCCCAATTTGGGTATTTTGTTGATACAATTATTGGATGTTACACTGAAAATTTTGGGTTTTTTTTGGTGAAGTTCATTGGGTGATTTTTTTTTTTTTTTTTTTTTACAATGGTATTTGCTTTCCCTCTGCAAATTACTTTTTTTCAGATAAATATTTTTATTTTTATTTGTTTCTATTTTTCTTCAAGTCCCTTTTTATAGCTTTAGGAATATTTTAAGTTATGAACCATCCTCGACGGATACGATAGAGTGATAAATAATTTTTCATCATTAAATATGAATTTTGGATTCGAGCCATGTGAGTGGAATCATTTTTATCTAAACGTAAAACTTCCGACTTGAATCCAAATTAATCAAGGGGCGAAATAAATATCAAATATCAAGTCTATTATTTTTTTTAGTTTCGATGGCATTTGGTTGAAAAAACTTGTTAGAGAATTTTTTTGGAGAAAATAAGAATTTTAGATAACCTTTGAAAAAGTAAGTTTTTTTTCTAACCAAACAAAACTAAAAATGGTGATAAATGCTTTTTGTGTTTGAAGAAGTAAGATTTTTAGTAAATTAATTCATATTTTGTATATTCTGTTTACATGAAAATATTATGATTTATCAAGTCAATCAACCCTTTATTACTACATATTTCTCATTCATGATTCAATTATCGAAAATGATTTGGTGTAATTTCGTTGAGGTTGAAGCCTTATGTCACAAAATAAATATTTTATTTTCAAATTAACTTCGAAGAATGATCGAGAATCGACTTTCGAAAAAGGGAGATTCAATCTAAAAAATATATAATTTTTAATTAACTCGTCTTTCTTAGATAATCAACTCAAGCCACTTAACAATTAATTACATGTAGTATATATATGGTAAGTTACAATTTGTAACACTACAACGAGTATAAAATTTCTCATATACTCCGTATCTATAAGTTAAAATTCTTTGTTTATATAATACACATAAAATTAAGAAACAAGATAAAATATAACTCGATAAATATACGTTATATCTCTTTGTTTAACGATGGATACACGTGTAAAATTACGAAACGAGGTGAAGTATAACTCCACCAACATTAGTCTTGATTTATTTTTTACAAAAGAAAAACCAAAATCATTTTATTATACAATAGTTTCAACATAAGACAACATAGTACAAAACACCAAATATCCACCAAGTTACATATCTTCAAGTTCAAGATTAAGCTACTACTACTCGACTCATCATCTAGCATTACTTTTTCTTTCTTTTGATAATCGCGGTATCGAGGTCAGCTTTTGCATATCTCGACTAATTTACAAGGATACCTGCAACTAACTCTGTCCACTAATGCTCGGAGAGATGATCATCTAGCATTACTCTTTCCTCCGTTGTTTCCATACAAACGAAAGAGACTGAATGCTGAAATACCAGAGAGAGCAATCATGCTAAGGCTAACTATTACAGAACTTGCAATGCCTTCTCCAATTTGGTTGCAAAATTTGCCATACAAATTGCAAACTTTCATCCATTGTAGCTCTGGTTGACCAAACTTCGAAATTACTCCAGACTGCGCTGCTGCCGCCACTGCAGCCAGACTCAAGTAGGCCATCAACTGCACGTGAAAAAGACGTCACTGTATTTTAATCTGTTGTAGCACGTAACTTGTCTTTTCAGATTAATAGTCACACTTCTTCATGAAGGCGTTAATTAAAAAAAAATTACAAATACACTATTTTTGAACTTTGATATTTACAGTCCACTAGAAGGCTAAAAGGGTATAATTTGAGTATTGCATAGCAAATGAAAAGTAAAAAGTGCATAATACATAAACAAATACTCGAACTTGACCTCAGTTGGCAAGTAAGTACTTAAACTTTGAGAGTTCACATCTAGACACCTCAACTTGATTTCACTGACAACTAAACACTCCAACTTAGTAAAATGTATCTCGTGGACACTTGATGCTGATGTGGCACATAAATTTTTAAATTTTGGAGGTTTCTAGATGATCATTTTATAAGTTGGAGTGTTCAACTAACACGGAGATGAGTCGAAATATCTAGATGTGTATACTCAAAGTTGGAGTGTTCAGTTGTCAATTGAGAATTGAGACCAAGTTAAAGTGTCCATCTTGATGCCCAAAACAAGTTAGTTAAAGCTTATTGAACTACCCTTTAAAGATGGTTAACAACATTCAACATTGAACTTCCTAACTGTTGGATTTGGACCACAAAAATAGTATACAAGATTTGACGGATCAATAGGTACGACAAGATGATTTTTATATTTTTCCCGTGTATTAGGGGTGTCTCGCATTTCTGAAGTTGAGGAAACATGGTCAGGTTGGTGAGAATTCATATAGCTGACCCCAGGTGGTTTCAGATTTAGGCATAGGTGTTGTTGTGTGTAACATTTCTAAAGGTTTATATGAGTTAATGAACTATACGACAATATAAGACATAAGCAATTTGGGCCAGAGCCACCAGCTTATCTGGAGCATTCATTTCATTTTTTAAGTGTAGATACATTTAATGTTGTCATCCAGTTTCTGGTGTCACAATTTATGGCAGTGGCTTTAACCATTGGTCCCAAGAGTTGATGGACTAAGAACTTGTTCTTAAAAGACAGCATTAGACTGTATTAAATGCCCATCACTGCATTCCCGGGGAAATTGTTGAACAACAACATATCCCGCGTAATCTCACAAGTGGGGTCTGGGGAGGATAGGATGTACGGAGACCTTACCCCTACCTTTGTGGGGTAGAGAGGCTGTTTCCGGGGAAATTGTTAGATGGAAAATATGTGGTAACACCAAATCATCCATCTTCAGCCTTCCCAAATTCAAAAGTCTCACATATTGCTGGTTAGGGGGTTTAGCGATCAAGATAGCACGGTCATAAAACATAGAAGAATCGTCCTGTTTTCAGAATGTATAATAAGGTTCTTATTGCACTACTTCAGCTACTCAAAAATGTTTCCCGAGACTCTTGCTATGTAGAGACCAGTAGCGGATCTATACTAGAAACACTGCAGGTCCGAAAGAACCTGCTGTGCCTAACGTTACTATATATGTGTGTGCAGAAAAAAAAGGTACATATATAAAGAGCAGAATTGACACGCTCTAAATCCGAGATTAGAGCAGAATTGACACACACAAAATTGTTAAATGGGCAAATATATGCAATGAAGGATGCAGCAAGAGCTTTTGTACTGCTTTCCGGGATAATAAGAGAAGTAATGCAAAAGCAGGTGCCAAAACAGGGATAAAAGCATTTAGAGCACTAGGAATGACAAATACGATCATGCCAACACTAACAAACCAGCTCCTATTAGAACTCCAACGCAAGCGTGTTACACAGTTGAATTTTTTTTATCCAAAGTATAGTTCTATTCTAGTTCACTCAATGTACCGGCTACATGTTCATGAGACAAAATATATCATCCATAATTCCCTCAATGAACAACCCCAACCACACTAAGAACGGAGTAAAATAAGGTGCATCTATGATAAGTGCTAAAGGATATGCCTGAGTTGAATCAGATCAGTTTCTAAATGCAGCGGCACCTGGATTGGATCCTCTATAAATGTACTACTACTGGAAAAATCCGACAAGCACCTATCAACATTTTTGAAAAGTCCGAGCAACATAGTCCAAAGGTTACTTCAACTTTTAAAAGGGTTAATTAATCAACCCTTTTTATCAATCAAAATTCAGAAGCAACAACTAATACGAATATCTTGTACCTGATCACCAGAAAAAATAACCCAAGCCAAGGGTTTGTTGAAAAGAACACTTCCTCTTATCATACTGAAAATGCACCTTAAAACTTGAATCAGAGAGTAAGCAGCAGCTAATCCATTGGCTATCACTAAAAATCTGCAAAAAAAAAAGTTCAAAGTTTAGATCTTTAACCTTTACGGGTGTGTTTGGCATTGAGGAAAACATTTTCCAAATTTCTCATGTTTCTGTCCGTCGAAACTTTTGAAAAATATTTTCCCTATAAAAACAAGTTCCTTGAAATGAGAAAAATACTTTCTCGGTGAAAGTAAAGAAAACAAATTTCATCGGTCCATTTCACTCCTCCCCATCCTCCGTCGTACTCCATTCCACCCCCACCCCTCATAGCTCCCACCTCCACCACCCCACACGTAATATATTAATATTTTTGAGATAATATTTTTTGTATGGAATAATCAATTATTTTCTGAAAAAATATTTTCCTTCAGACCAAACGCACCTTAAGAGTGTGTTTGGTATGAATGAGAATGTTTTCTTGGTAAATAAGTAATTTCTTTTATTTATTTTCTGGTATATGACGTAACCGTAAAGTTGACCTCATGTGATCAAAAAGATCATAGGCTCAAGCCGTAGAAACAGTCTCTTGCAGAAGTGCAGGGTAATGATGCGTATAATAAACGCTTGTTGTCTGGCCTTACTCAAATCTCTTGCATAACAAGAGCTTAGTGCACCAGACTATCTTTTTTTTAATTAAAAAGAATCTTCTTGTAATTGGTAATTAAATAGAAAATATTATCAGAAGATATTTGTATATAACTTAAGCAAATACTATGTTGGTGGAGTGGGGATGGGGCTACGAGGCTAGGGTGGGGTGGGGCGTTTGGGAGGAGATAATTAATGTGAATGTTTGTTTTTTGAAAAACTTGAACAACCAAACATAGAAAAATTGAAAAATATTTTTTTTTTTTAAATGTTCTACTCCATACCAAACACACCCTAAAGATTAAAGATTTGAACTTTGTTGAAGTTCTTGTGTAAGTGATGATTTCTCTATTTTCTCTGTTTGTTTTGCTTGTTTTTAGCTTTTTTTTCAAAGATTAATCTTTGAAATTACAAGCTACAAAAACAAGCAAAAGATTGAGAAAATAGAGAAAAATCATCACTTAAACAAGAACTTCAACAAAGTTCAAATCTTTAACCTTTACACAGTGTTTGGTATGGAAGAAAACATTTTCAAGAAAATATTTTTTCAATATTTGGTTGATCAATTTTTTTGAAAAAACATTTTGTAAGTTACATTTAACCCAACATGGTAATTAGCCATTGAATACTATTTTTAGCTTGTTCACCAAATACAAAAAAAACAAGTAAAA